CACTAGTTTGGTGTCCATAACACAGCGGTACACCCTAGTTTGGTGTCCACAACACAGTGGTACACCCTAGTTTGGTGTCCATAACACAGTGGTACATCCAAGTTTGGTGTCCATAACACAGTGATACACCCTAGTTTGGTGTCCATAACACAGTGATACACCCTAGTTTGGTGTCCATTAACACAGTGATACACCCTAGTTTGGTGTCCATTAACACAGTGATACACCCTAGTTTGGTGTCCATAACACAGTGATACTTACCTCCATGGCATTAGTCAGCATTCTAGTCAGCCTAAAAGGAATCTTTTCCGGGAATTTCTCTCTCGTCATAGCAACCTAAAAATAAAGAGCTCAAATTAGGTGATCAGAAACTGATCAGGGCAAACAAAATGAACAAAGCTTAGAAAGAACTCCCGTGTGCTGAAGGTATTGAAGGCATGAAGTACAAATAAAGAATATTGTATTTACAATTAGCAATGATCAGGGTGGTTCCTAGTATATGGTTTAACAGTTATTAATATTTATTGAAATAAAACCAGATATAATGACTTAATGTTTTAGTAATATATCATTTCAGACAACAAAATTATAGCACCAGCTGCATGTCCCTATGTTAAAATATTACAGTTATGCATATAATTGTGGTCGCATGACCATATATAGTCATTAGAAACATTATAACACATTGATTTCAACTAAAAACAAATCAGGTAAATGCATTATCCCAGAGCATCTATGTACAAAGTTTTATTAAAATCTGTTGAATGGTACATGATAAGCAAGTAAAAAGGCTTAAAATTAGCTAATTAATATGCAAATTTGGTAATTAATATGCACATATTTCAACCAGAACATCTATGTACCAAGTTTTATTAAAATCTGATAATTGGTTTTTGAGATATTAGTGGAGCAGACACACATACAGACATACTAACTGCAAAGACTTCCATTGTGTTTGTTCTACACAAATTAAAATATAGTATGATAAGAATTTAAACATAGAAAGGTGGGAATGAATGGTTCCTCATTGGATACTGAGTTCTAACAACTAAACTCAATAAAATAAAAAAAAATATTTCTTGTCCTGTTGGGTTAGGGTGTAATAGAAACTAGCTGAGAATGCAAGTACAACATATACCAATAAGTAAACATACATGTATACAAATATGACTTGTATACAAAACAACGGCTGCTGTTTACAGAAAATATTGATGACATGACATATAAGATGCTTACATACCTCAAAGCAATCGCCAAAGTCAATATGAAGTATCCGTCCTGATAATCTATCTAACATCAAATTGGAGGGATGCCTGAGAACAAAATGAAAACATTAAGATACATTAAGATTTGTATCGCAGAGATTTGTATCGCAGAGATTTGTATCACAGAGATTTGTATCACAGAGATTTGTATCAGAGATTTGTATCACAGAGATTTGTATCACAGAGATTTGTATCAC